GAAAAGTCTTCAACAACACCAGAAAAGTCTTCAATAACACCAGAAAATGTTGCTAGATTTGTCGCTAGTCGCTTTTCACAAAAAAAGTCGGCAAGAGGATTTGGAAAGTCGCCAGATTTAGCAAGAAAGTCGTCAATTTGGCAACACTGGGCTCGTCAACTTCTACGTTACTGTGCAAGGCAGAAGTAGTAGCGATCACACTCCTGTGACCAATCCTGCTTTAGACAGAGGTTAGGACCTCCCACCTCATTAGCATACAGACACATAAATGAATAAATGTAGGTGAAGAGAAATGTAGAAATAAATATATGATATGTATTTCTTTATGTCCTGTTTGATTATCAACTTTTATGTATTTATCTCTACATTAATTTATTTATTTCCATATTTATTTCAACAATAATTTATTTATTTCAGCATTTATTTATTTCAGTATTTATTTCAGCTTTTAATTATTCTTTTATTTCTGTATTCAAACATTTTGTAGTGGTCATTTGTCGACTAAAATCAAAATTAAACAAACAATAATCAAATGCCACTGATGCACCGTGGTCGGTATTTTTACGCAGCCAGAAGAGAGTGGATTGTCCAAGCAGGATTCCGATTTTTGTATTTATTAAATAAAGCAAACAAAACAAACAAACTAACTTAAAGAACAAAGAAAACTCCTGTCGTGCTGTCTCTCCTGTCCTGTACTGTGCTGCTGTATGCTGGTAAAAACTATACGCCCACCCCGGTGCATGCTGGTCCTATCCTTCTACTCATATATATATATATAGCAACAGGTGCCCACAGTAATTACCCAAAAAACAATATCACTAAACAAATTACTATTAAAGAGAAAAAAATATCTTAATATATCAAACATCTACAATAATTAAACAATACTACTTATAAATTAAATAACAAAATACAATATCAAATAAATAGCTCCAACATTCCGCCCCCTAATTGTGCATAATATCACAATTATTATTCTCAAACGAGCTATTCCTACAATAAACATGACCTAAAGTTAATCTTCTTCTTGACAGACCTACAACAAAAAAGAATAGAGAGAGAAAATGGAGGTAGGGAAAGATAGTGGAGAAAACATCAGTCCATGATGTTAGACTGCCGCTTCCAACAGCAGACGGAGCTTCGTCACCGGCCTCTCCAGAATGCTGGTCCTGGTTTGAAGTCACACAGAGCGCACCAGCCCCTTTGTATCTGGTCTTGCATCCAAAACTTCCCCATCATCCAAGATCCTCTTGGAGCTGTGGAGTCCGCAACAAGGACAATGTCTCCAATAGTGAGGCTTCTTCTTGGCCTTGTCCATTTTTGTCTCTTGCATCATAGGTAGGTACTCAGAGATCCATCTCTTCCGGAAGAGTTCAGCCATGTACTGTATTTGCTTCCACCTTTTCCTGATGTAAAGATCACTTTGATCAAATAGTCCTGCTTTCCTATTTTATGTTCCAACTTATTTCATATGCCCTATCTAATTGTGATTTTTAAATATATGTGTCTAATAACTCCTGTTTCACATCCTCATGATTACCAACTGAAAAGACATGTTTTTGAGCCCACACTCGGAAAAAAAATAATCACAATGGAAATCAAGTAATATCATTTATTTAACTGCCTGGATTAATTAAGGCACAAGATGGCGCCATCGGTCTTCAAAAAAACTCATTCTCCTTCAGCATCTTCCAAAACATGTTTTATTGGTCAAACACTCTGGCTAGATTTCTAAAATTCTTCTAAAGATTGTTTTGATCGATGTAAAGAAAAACATCTTATAGCCTTTCTGTTAAGATAACTCTGTCAGCTTTGGGAGGAACATAAACTGATTCAGAAAGGGAAGTTGTAAGTGCATTGGTTTGTCAGGATTATTTCAGCAAGAAAACTGCACATTAGTCAGATGGTTTATAGATTATTATGTTAATATTG